ACACACAAACTCACACACACACACTCACACTCACACACACACACATTCACACAAACGCACACACTCACGCACACTCGCTCACACGCTCACACACGCACTCACATACACACACACGCACACTCACATACACACACACTCACACACGCACTCGCACGCACTCACACACACTCGCACACACTCGCACTCACACAAACGCACTCTCACTCACACACGCACTCACACACACACACACACACTCGCTCACACTCGCACTCACACACGCACTCGCACGCACTCACACACACGCACTCACACACACACTCACTCACACACACACACACACACTCGCACTCACACACTCTCACACACACACTCGCACGCACTCACACTCGCACTCGCACGCACTCGCACGCACTCACACACAAACGCACTCTCACTCACTCACACACACACTCTCACATACTCGCATACACACACTCACATACACACAAACACACACACTCACATACACACACAAACACACTCACACTCATACACATACAGACACACACACGACATGACATCAAACATGTGCGCAACCTGTGTAGTCTGATTCAGGAACGAATGACTCTTATGAACGGATTCTTTTAAAGAATCGATCAACCAAACTCACAAACCTGTCAGAGCATTTACTCTCAGCACTGTATCATCATGATTTCATCAGGCTTGTGTCTCTTCATGCAAACACTGGTAAGAAGAGCTAATTGCTGCCATCTAGTGATTAAAACCGCTACTGACAATAAAAATGACCTTGGAGGACTTGTTGGAATTTGCTGAATGTTTTTCTTTCTCTTTTGGTTTATTTTGTGATGGAGACTGTCTGCATTATGATACTACAATCCCTCACATTTTCTCACGAGTTCACTGAATTTATTTTGCTTATTTTGAGTCTTATAGGAAGCAAACAACTAACAGTTAAGAGACACAAAACCTGGATGAGAAAGACTTAAAATAACTCTGTTAACATGATTTTGTAAACAACTGATTAATGTTCAGACCCAAATCCAGGGCCCTCAGTTTTATTCTTTTTTTTTTTACCAAATTCCGTTTAATTTTTTTCCAAATTCTGTTTTTTCTATTTTAATTTCTCTGGATTTTAATTGGAGTTATTTTAAATAGTAAAAATATTTCACAATTTTACTGTTTTTGCTGTATTTCTGATCAAATAAATGCAGGCTTGGTGAGCAGAAGAGACTTCTGTAAAAAAACATAAAAAATCTTACTGTTCAAAAACTTTTGACTGCTAGTGTGTGTATATATATATATATAATTTAGAATATCTAAACTTAACATTTATTTTAATGTAATCTCTAATACTTTGGCAACTCTATATAGTTTGTTTTAAATTAATACCGTACTATTGTTGTAGTGTTTGTCTTGTTGCCGGTTGATTTAAAGCTAATAAAATTAAAGACTCCCTCGAGATCAAGATTTCATAGCATCATTACAAAAGAATCCGGTCCAAACCAGATCTGCTGTTTAGGGCGTGACGAGTGTGTTGCTGGAATCTGCTGAATGTTTTTCTTTCTCTTTTGGTTTATTTAAGGCCTGATGATGATCAGCTGTGAATCTGAGACAGAGATGTGTGTTTATGGTGAACTGGACTCACTGCAGTAAGGAACGATGAGTCTTTCTTGCTCAGACTCTGTTCCAGCCATTTCAGTGGCTCCTTCATCACAGCGGCCGCCTCGACTCGCTTACCCTGGAGCGCCAACATGTGGAGAGACTGCAGCACTGCCGGCTGCACACACACACACACACACACACACACACAAGTCTCAGTGCACACAGAACAGTACTACAACAACACTCGAAAAATGTGTCCCTGCAGCACAGAAGCAGTGTTGAGTCGCTGGGGGATATTTGTAGCAATAGCCAACAATACATTGTATGGGTCACAATTATACATTTCTCTTTTATGCCAAAAATCATTAGGATATTAAGTAAAGATCATGTTCCATGAAGATATTTTGTACATTTCCTACTGTAAATATATCAAAACTTAATGTTTGATTAGTAATATGCATTGCTAAGAACTTCATTTGAACAACTTTAAAGATGATTTTCTCAATATTTAGATTTTTTTGCACCCTCAGATTCCAGATTTTCAAATAGTTGTATCTCAGCCAAATATTGTCCGATCCTAACAAACCACACATCAATGGAAAGCTTAGCTTTCAGCTTTCAGATGACGTATTAATCTCAATTTTGAAAAATTGACCCTTATGACTGGTTTTGTGCTCCAGGGTCACATATATGTAATGCGATGCATATTTGTCAGTCAAAAATCAATTAAACAGGTCGGATTTCTGTAATAGTACTAATAAACTAAATGTGTTTTTAACACATTTACCGGATTTATATATTTATCATCAAATCCAATTTGTTTTAATCTCATATCTTTTAATTTGAATATTGTTTCTTCCACATATAGCCGCATTTTAACAATCTTCATACTTTTTAATTAAATGAATTGTCATGATAAACAGATTTATGCTGATTCTAAGCTATATGAATACATGCATTTTGAGAAAAAATATTATTTAAATAATCATATTTAAATATAAATATATTTAAAATTATATATATATATATATATATATACATACATATATATATATATATATATATATATTAATATGGATATTTAAATATCAACATATTTTTTAAATGTATAATCATATTTCATATGAATATTTAAACTTGTACATTTATCGATTTTGAATATTGCTTGATCCACAGCTACTCATATTTTAACATTTCATCATTAATTTAAGTTTTCACAATAGTCGATTCCAAGAACGCATTTTGAAAATAGGATTTAAATGAAATCAAACAGATGCAAAGAGTTAATAATAAACTATTCCATGATTTTCTGAGTGCATAAATCTGAGCCGCTTCATCGATGTGTGACTGACAAATATCCATCACATTAACTTTATCAGTTAGTTTTTATTTTGTTGTTTAAACTGTTAAATCAAAATGCATGGAAATTTTACATGCAATTCAAATGCATAAATCTTATGCATAAAATGTATACCCTTTCTGAGTGACGTAAGACATGCTGGTCACATCGTGGTCCAGCAACAGCCTTCCTAACGAACCTAACGAACCTAACGAACCTAAACCTGAAGCGATGGAAGCTTCTGATGCAGACTTACAGGATGCCCAAGAGAGAAACTAATCCAGAACATGTTTGTTAAAGTGAAATATACATACATATATATATATATATATATATATATATATTAATATGGATATTTAAATATCAACATATTTTTTAAATGTATAATCATATTTCATATGAATATTTAAACTTGTACATTTATCGATTTTGAATATTGCTTGATCCACAGCTACTCATATTTTAACATTTCATCATTAATTTAAGTTTTCACAATAGTCGATTCCAAGAACGCATTTTGAAAATAGGATTTAAATGAAATCAAACAGATGCAAAGAGTTAATAATAAACTATTCCATGATTTTCTGAGTGCATAAATCTGAGCCGCTTCATCGATGTGTGACTGACAAATATCCATCACATTAACTTTATCAGTTAGTTTTTATTTTGTTGTTTAAACTGTTAAATCAAAATGCATGGAAATTTTACATGCAATTCAAATGCATAAATCTTATGCATAAAATGTATACCCTTTCTGAGTGACGTAAGACATGCTGGTCACATCGTGGTCCAGCAACAGCCTTCCTAACGAACCTAACGAACCTAACGAACCTAAACCTGAAGCGATGGAAGCTTCTGATGCAGACTTACAGGATGCCCAAGAGAGAAACTAATCCAGAACATGTTTGTTAAAGTGAATCCGAGCCAACGAGAGGCATCTAAACTATTTTATCTGATGCATTTACTGTAAAAATATTTTTTTACGTGCTTCCTTCTCAAACACATTGTGCTGTATATGTAATCTGTTGCGATCACCTAACTATAACAGTAACCTGTGGTCTCATATTCATCATTAATCTTTGCGATAGTCACCTGTAAACTCGTTGCTTCCCATTCCAGCCACTCGTTAGTCGCGTCAGTCGCCTTCTGGCCGCTGATGTCGAACAGGTATCTGTGGAGACATGCAAATAAACCATTATGTCTTTGTGAAATTTGTTTGAAATATCCATAAGCATGCAGTCAAAGCCTATTGCCATCATAATAACACTTTTTATTTTTTTAATAATGCACTACATTAAATATCAAAAATATAAGTAGTAAGACAAGTACCCGGGGTGGTTGCTTGGGTACTTGGGGTGGTTGCTAAGGTGTTCCTATGTGGTACCCTAGCAACCACATAGCAACCCCTTAGCAACCAACCCAGGTATCTGGTTATGTTTGTCAGTATGAGACTGTGACGGATGTGTAATGGTTTGTACATTAAAATGACTTTTTTACTGTATGTAATTTATATAATCATTTCAATCCACTGCAAATGTGCAAACAGAGCAAAATGACAATAAACTGGGTTGATCGATGATCTTCAGTCTATAAAATCATCTGATAATCAACCTGTTTATCTGCATAACCTCTAAACAGGACTAACCGGCTCTGCTATTTAGGGAGCAATGGTTTTGTTTTATTTATGCTTTCATTGTTCATTTCTTTACTTTCTCTTTTGGTCTTTAACCACAGGTGTGTGTTATTATTCCTCAGGGGATGCATTTACATTTTACTTAGAGCCATAGTTTAATTTTGCTTGTAATTAGGAGCTGCGCATGACCTTTTTTGCACTACTCGTGACCCGACATCACTTCACAAAACGCTATGATTTCGTGAAATAAACAACTGATTAATTAAAAGAGTGTTTTTGCAGGAATATCACGACGCTGGACTAGTAATGTTGGGTGAACTGTAAAACTGTGTCACCCTACTGAACATATTTATTTATTTAAAAAAATCATTTTTAATATAGATGGTACAATGTAATCTATTGTGTTGAATATTGAAACACTGTACAGACCGACCAAACAGTCATTACGTTATGTCAGAAAACAAGTTTCTTTAACATAACGAGTAATTCCTCAAACATGAATTCTGAATGATATGTGTGCTGTAAAATGTAAGTTGCTAACAAAATGCTGCATAAGGATTACAGTTACCACAAGGAGCGTTTATTAATTGTTGGTGACAAAAATTGTTGATTTTTGCTCTTTTTTGTAATTGTGAAAGAGAGTCTATCCTGCATTTATTTTTTGAATGTCTCTGTTCATCTTTGTTTTGGTCTGAGATGTCACACTTTCTAAGTGATAAAACAAACTGCATCCTAGTCTTAAATTTATCATCTGTTTTACTTCATTCAAATATGACTTTTCTAAAAGAAAAATATTTATTATTGATTTGTTTTTGCTATTAGGAAAATGCTATATTCATCAAACTAAATGGAGTAACTCAAAACCCAATTTTGCTCATTTTCAAACAGCCTTTAAAGGGATAGTACACCCAAAAATGAAAATTCTGTCATCATTTACTCACCCTCAAGTAGTTCCAAACCCATATAAATTTCTTTGTTCTGCCGAACAGAAAGGGAGAAATTTTGAAGAAAGTTTGTAACCAGGCTGTTTTGGGGCACCATTGACTTCCATAGTATTTTTTTTCTCATACTATGGAAGTCAATGGTGCCCCAAAACAGCCTGGTTACAAACTTTCTTCAAAATTTCTCCCTTTCTGTTCGGCAGAACAAAGAAATTTATATGGGTTTGGAACTACTTGAGGGTGAGTAAATGATGACAGAATTTTCATTTTTGGGTGTACTATCCCTTTAAAGGCTGTTTGAAAATGAGCAAAATTGGGTTTTGAGTTACTCCATTTAGTTTGATGAATATAGCATTTTCCTAATAGCAAAAACAAATCAATAATAAATATTTTTCTTTTAGAAAAGTCATATTCATTTGAATGAAGTAAAACAGATGATAAATTTAAGACTAGGATGCAGTTTGTTTTATCACTTAGAAAGTGTGACATCTCAGACCAAAACAAAGATGAACAGAGACATTCAAAAAATAAATGCAGGATAGACTCTCTTTCACAATTACAAAAAAGAGCAAAAATCAACAATTTTTGTCACCAACAATTAATAAACGCTCCTTGTGGTAACTGTAATCCTTATGCAGCATTTTGTTAGCAACTTACATTTTACAGCACACATATCATTCAGAATTCATGTTTGAGGAATTACTCGTTATGTTAAAGAAACTTGTTTTCTGACATAATCAGTCGCATGGAAGCTTTTTATCACACAAATCTTTCTCTCGCAATTCTGAGAACAAAAGTCAATTTATGAGATATAGTAAAAAGTCTAAAAAATAAATAAAAAGGTAATTGCAACTTTTTATCTCACAATTCTTACTTTTTAAATTTATATATATATATTTTATTTATTTATTTATTTAAATTATATAAATATATATATATTTTTTTTTTTGTCAGTAGCTTTTTACTGTTTAGAATGGGCAAAGCATGAGAGAACAAATTATATATATATATATCTAAGTGTAAAGATGATAAAGTGCACTCACTGGCAGATGCTGTTGGGGCTGAAGAGATGCTGGCCGGCGGGTAACAGCAGGAGAGGGACCACTTTCTCTGGAGGACAACAACACAATCTATCTGTGAGAGGATCCAGCTGAACGATGTACCACAGTAATAACATGGTACCCCGACACACACTACAGCACTGTGGTATTAGTACAGTCTCTCACCCTCGGGGCTGACCGCTTCTACCTCACACTGCACTCCGGTCAGCTCCAGCGCCGCCAGCACTTTAACACACTGCGGGCTCCCCTCGGCGATATACAGCTTCATCTGACCCTCGGTGACTTCTGGACGCTCCTGAATGAGTCTACTTTCGGACTCGGCGCTGGGAACGAGTACAGTGAGCTCAGCCGGTCTGGGAGCCGAGTGTTTACTCTGATGCAACCCACGTGGCCGCGTCAGAGGAAATTGTAGTTTTTAACTCTCGCTCGTGCTTCGGAACTGCCCTGAACTCGGAAGGCGGAAGACTACAATACCCACAATGCCACAGCGCAGGCGTGAAACTACCCTAAGTCTATTGGTTAAAGAGCTGAACGCCTCAATGTAATTGGTCGACGCCGTTATCAAATCACTGCGCACGATTATTTAGTGTTTAATCTCATAATAAACTCACAATTTTGAGAATTTCCAGTTCTCTTCTCAGAGGGATAGGAGTCTGTTAATGCTTTCCAATATCCATTTATATTTTTTAATATTTTTATATTTATAATATAATTTAGACTGGTTCAGAAATCTAATATGACTAGCAAAAAATGCTTCTCTTTTTCTCATTATTGTCTGATTTAATACGCAGAAAATATGAAGCTGAAAATATTCCAAGAAAAATCTTATCTACTGAGAAGGACTAAAGGTCATTTACTAGGTTATGTATGTTATGCACATGGTTAAACAGTAGTTTATTTGGAATAAATAATAATATTTATAGGTTTTAGTAAAACATTAGTGCAGCATTTCAAGGTTTTTACACCAGTAATAATGTGGCAAATACTGATGAAAATGTTTGTGCTTTTATTTATGTTTATATTATATTTATATTTTTAGACTGCTAGTAAAAATGCACTGTTTTGCATTATTGTCTTATTTGATACGCAATTGTTCATTAATGATCCAAGAAAACCTGACCTACAAATATTTACTTTGTGTTTTGCTTTTATAAAATTACCTTTATTTATTTATATTTAAAAATCCTAAAACTTTCTTTTTATTTCCTAGGTTAGAAAAAAAAACCCGACCTTCAAATATTTTTTTGTCTTTTAGTTTTACACAATAATATTTATTTATTTATTATATTTAAAAATCCTAAAATTATTTTTTTATTTCCTAGGTTAGAAAAAATAAAATCTTACATAACAATATTTATTTGGTCTTTTGATTTTATACCATAACATTTATGTATGTATGTATGTATAATTTTATTATTATAATTTTTTTTTATTAATTATTTTTATTTTTTTATTTATTTTTTTTTTTTTTTAAATCTAAAATTTTCTTTTTATTTCCTAAGTTGGAAAAAAGAAATAAATCCGACCTACAAATATGTGTTTTGGTTTTATACCATAACATTTATTTATTTATTTACTTACTTACTTACTTATTTATATTTAAAAATCCTAAAATTATTTTTTTATTTCCAAGGTTAGAAAAAAATAATCTTACATGACAATATTTCTTTGGTCTTTTGATTTTATACCATAACATTTATGTATGTATGTATGTATAATTGTATTTATTTATTTATTATTATTTATTTAAAAATCCTAAAACTTCATTTTTATTTCCTAAGTTGGAAAAAATAAATAAATATAAAATATTTTTTTGTCTTTTGGTTTTATACCATAACATTTCTTTCTTTCTTTATTTACTTACTTACTTACTTATATTTAAAAATCCTAAAATTTTATTTTTATTTCTTTATTTCCTAGGTTAGAAAAAAATTTAATTAAATAAATCTGACGTAACAATATTTCTTTGGTCTTTTGGTTTTATACCATAACATTTATTTATTTATATTTAAAAATCCTAAAACTTTCTTTTTATTTCCTAGGTTAGAATCAAAATAAATACATTTAATGTGCTTCTCAGTGCGCTTCAATACTTTCGAATCGCCATTTATTATTTATACTAGCATTAACTAATTGGTTTTCTATTTTTTGACCATAATGTATAAAAATTATTAGATTTTTTTTTTATTTTTTACAATATTTATTTATCATTTTATTTCATCAGAAAAAAAAAAACTTTTCCGGCAGTTTTCCGGCTTAATTAGCGAAGTTGCCAAAGCATCACACAATACAATAGCGCAGGAAACAAATGAGTAACTAAA